CTAGTCTCATCTCTTAATTTTATTTGATTTTAAAATTGTATATGTATATTTTTACTCTTTAAGACAAAGAATTATGAAGATAAAACCTCAAAAAAGCCTCTGTTTCCTTAACCCAGTTGGCATAAAAAAATCAGAAGTAATAAATGCTCATGTTGAGAAAATTCAAATGTCATAAAATCATGTTTTATGAATGAAGAATGAAAAGCAAAAACCTCTCATTCCTAATCCAGCTCCTGAAAAGGTAACCACTGTTAAACTTTCCTGAGAGTACAGTGAGAAAGTAATTTTCCTGTATATATCCTCACCCATTTACCTACTTAATTCCACAAAATATGAACCAAAGGAATCATCCTACACACACTGTTGCACTTCATTTTTATTTTTTCCGCTTGAAACTTTTGGGGCTCATTACAGATCAGATTCCTCTTAAATGACTAATAAATAAATTAATTTTTTAAATCTCAAGTATTTTTCATTTATTCCTCCTGCCTAACAGAAATGTAATAGCCTTTGACCAACATCTCCCCATCCCCACCTTCCAGCCTCCGGTAACCACCATTTTGCTTTCTGTATCTATGTGTCTGATAGTTTTAGCTTCCATATATAAATGAGAACTTGAGGTATTTGTCTTTCTGTCCCTGGCTTATATCCTTTAGCATAATGTCTTCATGTTCATCTATGTTGTCACAAATGGCACTCATTTTCTTCTTTTCCAAGGCTGAATAGTATTACATTGAGTATATGCCACATTATCTCTATCCATTCATGGTTGATAGACAGTTAGGTTGATTCCATAACTTGGCTATTGTGAATAATGCTGAAATAAATATGGGAGTGCAGAAATCTCTTTGATATTCTGATTTCAAATCCTTTGGTTATATGCCTAGAAATGAGATTACTGAGATCATACGGGAACTCTATTTTCAGTTATTTGAGGAACCTCCATTGTGTTTTCCAGAGTAGCTGTATTAATTAGGTAAATTAATATTTGTAGTGCATTTGGAACAATGATTGACATGGCGTAAGCACTGTATGCTTGTTAAACGAATGAATGAATGGGTGAGTGAATGGATACACAAAAATCGCTGTATGGCATTCCATTATATAGATATACCCTTCTTTATTTTACTATTAGTGGACACTTGCTGTGTCTGTTACCTGAACAAATGATGCAGAAAGTAACATCTTTGTACATATTTCTTGGGTACTCTCCTTTGGGTATTCAATTTGGTTGATGAGTACCTTACTTAGGGTGGCAACAGCAGACATGGAGCCAAAGGCATTAGAAAGGAAAAATTAGTGATTAGGAAAGAACAGAAAGTAGGATTGCAATTAGGAATGTTGCTTAGAACCTAGAATCACGGAAATATCAATCTTACTTTTGAAAGAAACTGCAGGAGATTGTTCCAGCCTTGCATCCTCTGAGCAGGGAATGTATTACATCAATGATTCCCAAGCTGTGCACTGAAGTGTCCTGGGAGCCCCAGTGAACTCACCGGAAGGAGGGGAGTGCTGCAGGAGTTTTAAGATTTTTGACAGAAATAGTGCTACGTGACATCTCTGACACTTTACAAATGACTAGCTTAAGATAGTTCACAGTTTAACACTAATCTTACTACATTCCTTTTGTTAATGTTATAATTTATGAAGTTGATGAAAATAAATTTTTTTTGAAATAGGGTCTTGCTTGGTCACCTAGGCTGGAGTGCAGTGGTGTGATTATGGCTCACTGTAGCCTGGACCTATTGGGCTGAAGCAATCCTTCCACCTCAGCCTCCCAAGTAGCTGGGACTACAGGCGCAAGCCACCATGCCACGCCAATTAAAAAAAAAATGTTGTAGAGACGATGTCTCACTATGTTGCTCAAGCTGATCTTGAACGCCTAGGCTCAAGCAATTCTCCCACCTCGGATTCCCAAAGTGTTGGGGTTATAGGCATGATCCACTGCACCTAACCTGAAGTTGATTTTTTGGTGGTTGCGTGGTATGGCAAGTACTGGGCAAAAATTAGTGTGAAATAATAAGTGAGGATGGCATTGTCCAATATTATTCCAAATTTTCAAAAGTTACACAGTGTTCAGCAGGTGCATATATTCCATTAGTAACTAGTTACAAATGAAAATAAAACCTTTTTTTGTGTGTGTATTTTTTTTTGCAAACAGCTCCTAAGTTGTTAGGCTGTAAATACTTATTAAATTGGTCGATTTCGTCATCTATGATTTCTTTCAACAGCGTTTTGTAGTTTTCGTTGTACAAAACACTGCTAAAAGAAATCATAGACGACACAAGCACATGGAAGCACATCTCCTGCTCATGGATGGGTAGAATAAATATTGTGAAAATGACCACACTGCCAAAAGCAATCTACAAATTCAACACAATCCGCATCCGAATACCATCATCATTCTTCACAGAATTAGAAAAACAAGTTCCAAAATACATATGGAACCAAATGAGAGCGTGCATAGCCAAAGCAAGATTAAGCAAAAAGAATAAATCTGGAGGCATCACACTACCTGATTTCAAATTACATGATAAGGCCATAGACACCAAAATAGTGTGGTACTGGTATAAAAATAGGGACCAATATTAGTGCCTGTAAAAATAGACGAATGGAACAGAATAGAGAACCCAGAAATAAACCCAAATACTTACAGCCAACTAATTTTCAACAAAGCAAACAAAAACATAAGGTGGGGAAAGGTCACCCTTTTCAACCAGTAGTGTTGGGATAATTGGCTAGCCACATGCAGGAGAATGGAACTGGGTCCTCATCTCTCACCTTATACAAAAATCAACCCAAGATGGATTAAGGACTTAAATCTAAGACCTGAAACTATAAAAATTCTAGAAGATAACTGGAAAAACCCTTCTAGACACTGGCTTAGACAAGGATTTTGTGACCAAGAACCCAAAAGCAAATGCAATTAAAAACAAAGATAAATAGCTGTGACCTAATTAAACTAAAGAGTTTTACACGGCAAAAGGACCAGTCAGCAGAGTAAACAGGCAACCCACAGAGTGGGGAAAATCTTCACAATCTGTACATCTAACAAAGGACTAATGTCTAGAATTTACAACAAACTCAAACAAATCGGTAAGAAAAAAACAAACAATCCCATCACAAAGTAGGCTAAGGACATGAGCAGACAATTCTCAAAAGAAGATATGCAAATGGTCAATGTGCAAAAATGCTCAACATCATGAATGATCAGGGGAATGCAAATCAAAACCACAACGCAATACCACCTTAATCCTGCAAGAACGGCCATAATAAAAAAATCAGAAAACAGTCGATGTTGGCGTGGATGCAGTGAACAGGGAACACTTCTACCCTGCTGGTGGCAATGTAAACTAGCAAAGCCACTGTGGAAAACAGTATAGAGATTTCTTAAAGAACTAAAAGTGAGACTACCATTTGATCCAGCAATCCTACTGCTGGGTATCTACCCAGAAGAAAAGAAGTCATTATTTGAAAAATATACTTGCACATGCATGATTACAGCAGCACAATTCAAATTGCAAAATCATGGAACCAACCCAAATGCCCATCAATCAATGAGTGGATAAAGAAACTGCGTTATACATATATGATGGAATACTATGCAGCCATAAAAAGGAATGAATTAACTACATTTGCAGTTATCTGGATGAGACTGGAGACTATTCTAGGTGATGTAACCCAGGAGTGGAAAATCAAACATTGTATGTTCTCACTGATATGTATGAGCTAAGCTAGGAGGATGCAAAGGCATAAGAATGATACAATGGACTTTGGTGCCTTGGAGGGAAGAGTAGGAGGGTGGTGAGGAATAAAAGACTACAAATATGGTGTAGTGTATACATGGGTGATGGGTGCACCAACATCTCAAATCATCACTAAAGAACTTACTCATGTAACCAAATACCACCTGTACCCCAATAACTTATGGAAAAATAAAACTACTTAACACTACTACTAACTACTTAATAAATGGAACTTCTTGGTATTTGACCTGGGATGCTGTTAAAAAATGACTAAGACACTAAAAGATACAGTGAATTGAAAACTATTGGGAACAGCTGATTTATATCCTCATCCATCCGAACTCTTTTAACTGCAAGTGAAAGACACCAAATAGACACTGCTTAAGCAAAAACAGGGAATTATTGGCTCATATATCTGGCGTGTCTAGAGTTGCAGATGGCATCAATCTTGGCTGGATTCAGGTGCTCACATGAGGCCACTTGAGGCGCCATCTGTCTTTCCAGCTCTAGGAGGGTCTTGCCGCTTTTAGGAGAGATAGCCTCAGGCCAATTCTCTCCAGACTCACATCCTTTCAGTTTAGCAGTCCAGGGAGAAAGGATTGTCTTTCCTAAGAGCTTGTGCATAAAAGATCTGAGGAGAAGACTTTGGTTGACCTAGCCTGGGTCACTTTCCTAACTCTGAACTGTGGTTATGGAGATTTGTAATGGTCAGCTCTGGGTTCAGGTCAGTGTCCCAACTAAACCATACGGAATAGGTAGGTTCTCCCCAGAAAGGGGAGAATGGGATAAGGGATATAGGACCAAAAACAATGCATTTCTCATTTTATAGATGAGAGAACAGACTGGCAGTGTGATAGCTTAATAGTTAAGCAGGAAGGCTCTGGAGTCCCACCCATCTGGGTTCACTTTCTTGGTCAAATTAATGACCTCTTGTCTTTTAAGGCTTTAGAGTCCTCATCTGTAAAGTGGGTATAACTGAAGGTAAAAGCAAGAAATAAAAAACAGTAATTGTAGTCCCTACCTCATAGGGCTAGTGGTTTAAGTAATGACTGAGTGAGTTAATAGACATCAAGTGTCCAGCATAGGTCTGGCAATAGGAAGCCCTCAGTAAACAAAGCCATTATAATTACTAATCAGGGAACCAAGTTTGCATATCCGGTAAGTGACCCAGGCTTCTGACTCCTGACGGTTTCCCTCTAACCAGGGAGGCAGGGAGAGTACACAACAGTGATCTTCCTTTCTTGTCTGTTGCAGAGTGAAGCGACATGGACGCAGTCAGCCAAGTCCCCACGGAAGTCGTGCTTCCCAAGCACATCCTGGATATCTGGGTGATTGTCCTCATCATCCTAGCCACCATTGTCATCATGACCTCCTTGTTGCTGTGCCCAGCCACTGCAGTCATCATCTATCGCATGCGGACTCATCCTATTCTCAGTGGGGCTGTTTGAGAGCCTCCCAAGAGGGCTGCGTGTGGGATGAGGACAGGCATCCTGTCCCCAGCCTCTTCCTGTCTTCAGAAAAGCGGCAGGAGGGACTTTGGGGCATGGACCTGAGTTCTGGTTTTGATTTCTGCCATGAGCCAGCTGTGTGAATTTGGTCAAGGGACCTAACTCGCTGAGTTCCACGTTCCTAATCTTTCAAATGGGGATGGCGATCCCTGCCCTTCCTACCTCACAGGGGTGTGGGAACCACCTGACTTAGTGGAAGTGAAAGCTATGTGAGCAGTAAAACTACCACAGATATAAAGGTGTTACGCTGAATGCTGAGAAGCTTTGAAGAACCAGAGAAACTGATTGTTTATGATGGCCTTAAAGGTGGCGGGGGAGAGAGTGGGGGCAGCGCAGACTTTGCCAGGGCCCCTCAGGTCAAACCAAACCAAGCAAGCACCCCGTCCCCATCCCAAGGGGCCAGCAGGGCTTTGGCTCAAAGTTATTTTCTTTAAGGTGCCGTTCCTTCATGTTTTCTCAGTTTGGAGGGAGATGGGTAGAGCTTTCTAGAACCTTCTCTATGCCAGAATCTCTGCCCTTGTGTAATCTGAAGGACGACTGTGCCATCTTTGGGCACTGCCAAGGGAGCTGGGGTGATGGGCTTCTTTCTGCACTGGAGTCTCACGTCTGTTAGCTTTGACACTCAAGCCATGTTGGAATACGCAGGGTGGTGGAGTTCCCTGCCCAGCCTTTGGGGTCTGTGGCCCCCTTCCCCTTTTGTGTGTCCCTCTGTCCAGCTAATGCTGTAATTAGCTCCATGTGTACCCCCTTCACTCCCTCCCACCAGCACTGCAGCCAGCCTAAGGCAACTGTATTTTAAGAGATGTTCCCAGGACTTTTGGGACCTACTAAAACAATGATGGCTATTTTAGATGTGATAATTTATATTTATGTAGAGAGATTTCTGGACCACTCAAGCTCTTCAATATCAATATTAGGAGCATCTTGCAATTTATTAAATTATGTAAGAAGATAGCACCGATATCAGGATATTATTGTGTGAAAATGATGCTTTTACTTTGATGTGATCTCATTCATGTACACAATCAATTTCCAATAAAGTGCTAGAATGCGCATGTCTGAGGTCTTTCTTTAAAGAGCAGCTGTTAAACTCAGAACTCAGGTAAAAGCCTTACACTGAATTTATCGTCCTTCGAGACAGTTTGAATTTAGTAACAGGAGAAGAATCAAATTTACTTCCAGGGCTCTAGCTTCAGCATGTGGGTAAAGTTGTGCAGGTTACACACAGATAGTATAGAGGGGAAGAACAGATTTTGAATATCAGATTCAAATAATGACAAATAAGACAGTGAATTTAGCATTGGACATGTTGCATTTGAGGTGCTTGTGATATTGAGGTGGACACATTCAGGATGCAATTGGATATCTGAGTCTGTTCTTGGAAAAGATGTTATGTTTGGCTTGAGGGTATGGGGGATTAACCCCTATGGTAGATAAGCCCATACAAGTAGATAGGATCAGAATATACAGACTTAGAAGAGTGAGGTGCTAAATGCAGAACTTTGAAGACACTAAATAGGAGTGGAAGGGTCATAGAAAGGGGGAAAAAGCAGAGATATTGAATGGGTCCTGTGATATGAAGTGTTTCAACAGAGGTGCAATAATTTTTTTTTGTGTGTGTGTGTATATATATATATATATATATATATATATATATTTTTTTTTTTTTTTTTTTTTTTAGTAGAGATGGGGTTTCACCATATTGGCCAGGCTGGTCTCAAACTCCTGACCTCAAGTGATCCACCCATCTCCACCTCCCAAAGTGCTGAGATTACAAATGTGAGCCACCGTGCCTGGCCCCAGTAATATTTTGTAGGTGAAGAAATGAGAGGAAGGTTAAGAAGTTGAGACAGTGAGAACAGAAACCTTTCCAGGAAAAGCACCGTAATACAGAGGTAAGAGTTAGAGGGGGCATCAGGGGAAAATGGTGAAGGGGATTTCTGTCTTAGTACATTTGGGTGGCTCTAACAAAATACCTGAGACTGGTAATTCAGAAACCACAGAAATTTACTGCTCAGCGTTCTGCAGGCAGGGAGGTTCAAGGCACATGCAGATTTTGTGTCTGGTGAGTCTGTCCCTCATACATGGTGCTTTCTATGTGTTCTCATGGCGGAAGAGGCAAGCAAGCTCCCTCAAGCCTCTTTTACCCAGAAACGAATCCCATTCATGAGAGCAAGGTCCTCATGACCTGATCGCCTCCCAAAAGCTTCACCTCTTAGTACTAACACCATGAGGATTGGGTTTTAACATATGAATTTTGCGGGGGACACGAACATTCAGACCAGAGCAACCTTGTATGTCGTAAGATTCTGATCGGTTTGCTTGGCATCTCTTCCAGCTGTTTTTCTGGTAAGCCTTCCAGCTGTTTTTCTGGTAAGCCTTCCTGGATGGCAGAGGCTGGAAAGTAAAACAAACAAAAACTACAGTGAAAGTAAAAACCTGTATGTCTGTGACTATACTTGATAGGGATTCAAACGTGATTTAGGCTTTGCTGTTCAGATGCACATATGCCAGGTTTGAGTTTGGAACCTAGCTGAGCTGGGAGAGATAGGACAGGGTGTAAGGCAATCACAACACTGGTGTGAATCCCAAAGCTACAGCACACTCTGGAGCCAAGCCCACAGCTTTCTGATCCCTGGATCTCAGTTGAGATGGGACAGTCCTGCAGCCCACAGCCAAGACTGTGGCTTTCTTGTTCCCTTGCTTCCCACTTGCTACAGGAGTGGTAGCTCCCCAGGATGGTCAGTTTTGCACTGTCGATCTGGAAGGAGTTCTAGTAACCCCTGCCTTCTGTGCTCCCCCAATCCTTTTAATGATTTTAAGCACATAATTCCCTATATTAAAGCATGTTTAGGCTGAGTGTGGTGGCTGACACCTATAATCCCAGCACTTTGGGAGGTCAAGAGGTCAGGAGTTTGAGACTAGCCTAGCCAACGTGACGAAACCACCTCTCTACTAAAAATACAAAAATTAGTCAGGCGTGGTGGTAGGCACCTGTAATCCCAGCTACTCAGGAGGCTGAGGTGGAAGAATCACTTGAACTTGGGAGGTGGAGGTTCCAGTGAGTTGAGATCACGCCACTGCACTCCAGCCTAGGGAACAGAGCAAGACTTTGTCACAAAAATAAATAAGTAGGCATATTTAATTTTTATTTGCTAGAGTACACCTTAATTAGTCCAGATGGAAGAAAAATCTTAATTCCTACAAATTATTATTTTAGCAATTCCACTTGTAAGTCCATCATGTGATCCAGAATTATGGGGGAAGAAGTTTGTTAATGGGAGGCAGATGGTCTTCTAGAAATAGAGATAGCAAGGAACTGGTGGTTTCGAGGAGAGCTCAGAGAGGTCTATTGGTGGTGATAGAATGAGAACTTTGCTTATAGTATTTCTGAAACAATATTATAATAGTGAGCATTCCGAGAGGCCAATATAGGCAGATCACTTGAGGTCAGGAGTTTGAGATCAGCCTGGCCAACATGGTAAAACCCTCTATTAAAAAAAAAAAAGAGAGCAGCACTGTTTATGACAGCAAATACTTGGAACCAACCCAAATGCCCATCAAGGATAGACTGGATTAAAAAAAAATGTGGCACATATACACCATGGAATACTACGCAGCCATAAAAAAGGATGAGTTCATGTCCTTTGCAGGGATATGGATGAATCTGGAAACCATCATTCTCAGCAAGCTGACACAAGAACAGAAAACCAAACACCACATGTTCTCACTCATAAGTGGGTACTGAATAATTAGAACACATGGACACAGGGAGGGGAACATCACACACTGGGGTCTGTTGGGGGATGGGGGGCTAGGGGAGGGATAGCAGGGGGTGGGGAGATTGCGGAGGGATAACACTAGGAGAAATAGCTAATGTAGGTGACAGGGGGATGGAGGCAGCAAACCACCATGGCATGTGTATACCTATGTAACTAACAAACCTGCAAAATCTGCACATGTACCCCAGAACTTAAAGTGTAATAATATTTTAAAAAGGGAAAAATAAAAGAAGAGTGAGATCTTTGGGTTAGAAAATGTATAGTGTTTTTTGAAAAGAGAATGAAAATACAAATTCCAAATCCAAACTTGTTGGCCTCTTTGAAAAATAAGGGGTCTGGTAATAAGTAACAGAGTTTACAAATTGTATCTATTAAAATTAGAGCTTATATTATTTAGTTGGGTGAGATGATTTACATTTAAAAATGTAAAGAATATATGTGTGCTTATAGGTAAGAACAATACATGAACATATTTACCAATGCTCCCAATACATGTTAGTTCATGTTTCCACATTTAACACTTACTGAAGGTAGCAGAGGTAACATTTTGCAAGAAAAGAATGTTTGGTAAACACTATTTCTTGTGATAACCAAAGAGCATGAATAACATTTCTGCCAAACTTCTCCCTCCCCAACGCCTGCTCCAGAAATAGCCAACTAGTTTGATAATTACTAGAAGAAAAAAAGTGAAACAATTATAATATTTATACAGACATAAAGGAATGGTCTGGTAATATGGTACAAACAATGAAATTAAACATGATAACTGAGCACTATCTATTATAATGGTAGTCAACAAAAAGCAAAATACAAAATTGCACCTTCTCAACAACACCTTCAGAATTTTCATATAATGGGCTAAGGGTGATAATCTAGTTGAAAAATGCAACCTAGACTACTATAGGTTTTTCATAGCCCTTTATGTAAGACGGAGAAAAGCTCAAGGCCCATTCAAAAGAATTTGAGGGTGCTGTGACCAGAGATAGCATTTAGAATGCGTATGCATCTGCATCAGACACAGATGGGAAGGAGCATAGTGGAGATTAGGAGAACTTTGTTAGGGGCAGTGAGACAATGGTGACAATTTCTCTGCATTTGATTCTTTATTAGTTATTAGGTTAGTGCAAAGGCAATTGTGGATTTTGCCATTACTTTTATTTATTTTTTTAAATTTTATTTTTTTGCATTTTAGGTTTTGGGGTACATGTGAAGAACATGCAAGATTGTTGCATAGGTACACATGTGGCCATGTGATTTGCTGCCTTCTTCCCCATCACCTGTATCTGGCATTTCTCCCCATGCTATCGCTCCCCAACTCCCCACCCCCCACTGTCCCTCCCCTATTTCCCCCAACAGACCCCAGTGTATTTGCACCAACCCAAAACAATGATCTATAACAAAGTCGTGAATGCATATATTGTCAATTTGTCACTAATACAATTATTTTGGTGGTATTTTGTTCTGTTTCTTGTAACGGGGTAATTTTTGCTGCTATGCTTCCAATGTAACTGGCTTCATCTGATTTCTTTTTTTCAATGAAACCTGTGTCTTTGGAAACCAACATTCTAACGGCATGCCTCTAGACATCTCTACTGGTCCAAGGAATGCAGTTTGGGAGACAGTGTGTGTGTGTATGTGTGCACACTCCTGTGTGTATGTGTTGAAGCGTAACATGATCCACCTGACATGTACATGCTCCTGTTCATATTATGCACCATCCATTTCACGATAAATATGTTGGGAAATAAATTTGTAGTACTACCTCCCACACGGCAAATCTTATTTCCTTTTAGTTTCATTAATAGTATTTAGTATTAGTTGCCACTAATAAGGATTATTTTTAATTTGCAGATGGAAAGCTTCTTCCTTTCCATCACAAATCGAGTGTTTCTTCTCAAAGGTCATGGTTCTCTAACTTTAGGATGTACCAGAATCCCCTGAGAAGCTTTTAAAAATGCAAAATCCTGGTCCCTATCTGCAAAGATCCTATTTCAGTGGGTCTACAACAGCCAAGAATTCTGCATTTTTAAGGCAACTTCCTATCCTTTGAGAACCATTGCACTGAAGTATTTGGGAACTTTGTTTCACTGTGATAGCTGTCTGGGGCTTAAACCTTCTTTTAACTTCTGGCCAAAGGAAAATTTGGAAAATGTTGTGACTGACCAAGCAATGCGAGCCCACGAGAAGCAGTAGACTGGGAACCAGAGGGTGTGAGACCTAGGCTCTATGTGGCCTAGACTCTTCGGAACCCTACTGAGTCTTGATTCCTGGTG